TCTCTCTCTCTCTCTCTCTCTCTCTCTCTCTCTCTCTCTCGCACAAACAAACACATGATACCTGGTACTCTTCTAGCTGCTCCTGTGTGAAGCTTGCAACCTTATTTCCCATCTTCCCGGTTTATTTAGATGCCCGACCCTTAGCCACCAAAATCGTCAACTTCGGGTTTGCATCTCACACGGCTGTAGCAGCGAATAACATGGCAGGACGCGATGCACAGAAGGCCGTTCTTGGCTTCAGTTCGCATTGGATCGATATTAGCATAGAAGCAAAACCCACGGCGCGAGCGCCATCTATTGGCAATACTAGTTAAAACACCGCGCAATATCAAACAGAATAGGAGGAATTGAGGCTATTCATGTGATGTTTGAAATAATAAAAACAATTTTTGAAGATAAAAAAACTTGTCTTTTTTATCGTAATGCTAAAAGCGGCTCATGCGCAGTTAGAAAACTCTATCCAGATTTATTCACAATAATAACCTTCGTGTTTTCTCTGTCGAGATATAAGGGGTGATGATATGCGCATGCGCATTGCTGTAGTTTATGGCGACCCAACGTAATATTGTTCTCTAGCAATAACATGCGCAATGTGGCATCCATCAATTTTCAAAAAAAAAAATTTAAAAAAAATTCTACATATCCGGCCATTAATGTAACTCGATGTATATCTCGCTCACAAGTGCGCGCCTGCATTTCTACATAATAATTATGCCACGCAGTTTTCGCTCACCGCGATATTTATACGAATAAACATCGTATACCGATGGATGGGGCGACGCCGCGACATTACGCAATGCCGTAGTTCGCCGCTTCTAATCACGTTTTACGGCGTCGGCGTTTGCAGCCGTCTGCTGCCGAGTGTGCGAGTCGATGACGAATGCTGGCGCCATCTAGGCGCGAATTTCTACCATCAGCGGGTTTACGGGTGGCGCGCCGATGTGAGGGGGAAAGGGGGGGAGGTGAAGGAGTTTAATGGCGTATTGCAGAGAACAACGCGAGCGTACGACAAGTACAATTATTCTAAGAATGAAGCGAGGCTGTGGCGCGACAGACGTTTGGTGCCAGCTGGGTTATCAATATTAATCTTAGTGTGCAATATATCTGTAGGTATGCTAGCGTCAACGGTTGGACCCTGCATGTGCAATATAGCGGCGATGTATGGGTGACTGACTCGTGACAAATTTCGGAGCTAAATGAAAGGAAAAATGAGGGAATTAACTTCAGATGCAAGTCACATAGGGATAATAATGATGTCATGGTCTGATTGTTAGTACTGGGAATGTGTGTGCATGTGCATGTATGTGTGTGTGTGTGTGTGTGTGTGTGTGTGTGTGTGTGTGTGTGTGTGCGCGCGTGTGTGTGTGCGTGTGTGGTTGTTGTTGTTGTTGTTGTTGTTGTTGTTGTTGTTCTCTCTGCGTTTCTCCTTCTTTTCTCTGTCACGCACGCTCTCTCTCTCTCTCTCTCTCTCTCTCTCTCTCTCTCTCTCTCTCTCTCTCTCGCTCTCTCTCTATCTCTCTGCGTTTCTCCTTCTTTTCTCTGTCACGCACGCTCTCCCTCTTTCTATCTCTCTATCTGGCTCTCCCTTTCCATCGCTATGCATCTTTATCCTCATGTTCATATATGCGCATCCGCTCCGCTTTATCCCCCCCCCCCCATAGCGCTATTATCTATGCCATGTTTAACAACTCTATAATCATCACACAAAAACAGTAATAATACTAATAATACTAATAGTAGTTTATTCACTCAAACACGCACGCAGCATTGAAATACGGTGTTTGTATTCGTACATGTTAATTTCAGTCGATTGACGACGGGGGTCGACACCTCGTGAAATCACGGCCGTGACATTCACGCGTGCACTTCACGCAGGCCACACGCGGGCCACACGGGGGGCGTTCACACCTACTCTATAACCCGCATTGGCAAAACGCAGCGTTTATAAACCCGACTGCCTGCTTATGCATGCTGCGGTCTCACGCCGGTAATAATATATATCGATCTCGATATGACTTCCCCCACGCCTGCGTTACGCTCCCCGTAAAATTACGCCAATCAAATCGGTCAGAAAGCCAACAAAAATCGATAGGTACCAGGCAGCGTAAACGCTTGCTGGCAAGTTGTGTGTGTGTGTGGTTTTCTCCCCGAGTGTTGGTGCGGCGGTAGCGGCGGTGGCGCCGTCGTGCATGCATGCACACCAGCCGCACTCACCACTGATGCACGCATGCATTGTCACGCGCAGCAGCTGCTAATGCGTTGTTATCATAGCGGAGACTTGAACTTACGCGGAGAGAGCGCGTGCATGCCAGTACCAGCCGTTCGGTTGCAATAGTTAGAGAGCGAATGGTTGGCGCACGCACGCACGCACGCACGCACGCACGTAAGCGCGCGCATGTGTACATGTAACACATACATACATGCCCGCGCGCTTACGCACACGCATGCACATATTCATAAATATAATCGCGCACACGCACGCGCACGCGCATCCCCCCACACACGCACGCACACACACAACACGCACACACGCACAGACACACACACTCACACGCACACAGGCACACACATTCATACACACGCACTCACGCACACACACACACACACACACACACACACACACACACACACACACACACACACACACACACACACACACACACACACAGAGAGAGAGAGAGAGAGAGAGAGAGAGA